TGATACCCATCAGAAGAACCTCTTTCAGGAGCCAAAGGATTTTACAAGTAGATATTGACGTGCTTGCTTGAGATAGCCACCTGGGTCCATGAAATGAATGGACAAGGGAAAGATACAGCAATGCAAAGATGAACTGATCACTGACATATTCCTCTAGCACCCACTGAGACACAAAATGTCAACCAGAACTGCCCTGTCTGGCAAAGGAGGCAGAGATTTCAGATGACTATACATCAAGGCTGTATATTGTCACCCTGCTTATTTAACTTATATACAGAGTACATCATGAGAAATGCTGGACTGGATGAAGCACAAGTTGGAATCAAGATTGCCGGGAGAAATATCAATAACCTCAGATATGTAGATGACACCACACTTTTGGCAGAAAGTAAAGAAGAACTAAAAAGCCTCTTAATGAAAGTGAAACATGTATATTATCAAGGGTGAAACAGATCACCAGCCCAGGTTGGATGCCTGAGACAAGTGCTCGGGACCTGGTGCACTGGGAAGACCCAGAGGGATGGCTGGAGAAGGAGGTGGAAGGGGGCATCGGGATGGGGAATACATGTAAGTCCATGGCTGATTCATGTCTATGTATGGCAAAAACCACTACAATATTGTAAAGTAATTAGCCTCCAACTAATAAAAATAAATGGGAAAAAAAAAAGAAAGTGAAAGAAGAGAGTGAAAAACTTGGCTTGAAACTCAACATTCAGAAAACTAAGATCATGGCATCTGGTCCCATCACTTCATGGCAAATAGATGGGGAATCAGTGGAAACAGTGGCTGACTTTATTTTTTGGGGCCCCAAAATCACTGCAGATGGTGACTGCAGCCATGAAATTAAAAGATGCTTGCTCCTTGGAAGAAAATTTATGACCAACCTAGACAGCATATTAAAAAGCAGAGACATTACTTTGCCAACAAAGGTCCATCTAGTTATGGCTATGGTTTTTCCAGTAGTCATGGATGGATGTGAGAGTTCGACTGTAAAGAAAGCTGAGTGCCTAAGTGCTGAGTGCTGAGTGCTTTTTGAACTGTTGTGTTGGAGAAGACTCCTGAGAGTCCCTTGGACAGCAAGGAGATCCAACCAGTCCATCCTAAAGGAAATTAGTCCTGAATATTCATTGGAAGGACTGATGCTGAAGCTGAAACTCCAATACTTTGCCACCTGATGCGAAGAGCTGACTCATTTGAAAAGACCCTGATGCTGGGAAAGATTGAGGGCAGGAGGAGAAGGAGATGACAAGAGGATGAGATGGTTGGATGGCATTACCGACTCAATGGACATAAGTTTGAGTAAACTGCGGGAGTTGGTGATGAACAAGGAGGCCTGGTGTGCAATGGGACTGCAAAGAGTGGGACACGACTGAACGACTGAACTGAACTGATTGGGGCAGAGTCCCTGGAGGAAGGCCCCACACATAGCTGGCAAGTAGACTATGTCAGACTGCTGCTGATAGTTCCAGGGGTTATAAATGGATCTTTTAAATATTTTTTTAATTTAACTTTTAAAAATTTATTTGGCTGCACCGGCTCTTAGTTGCAACATTCAAGATCTTCTATCTTTGTTGTGGCATGCAGGATCTTTTGTTGCAGCATGTGGGATCCAGTTCCCCAACCAAGGATCCCATCCAGGCCCTCTGCATTGAGAGTGCAGAGTCTTAGCCACTGGACCACCAAGGAACTCCTGGGATCTTTTTTTTTTTTATTTGAAGTATGATTGACATATAACATTTATGTAAGTTTAAGGTAGACAGCATGTTGACTTGATACACATATATTGCAATATGTTACCATCTCTATGGCATCACATAAATGAGTCTTTTATAAATGCGACTTGACAGGAACAGACACTCTGTACTGGGCTTTGAGCAGTAGAAGCAAATACTCAGAATACTATAAAAGGACTGGAACAGAAGCTACTGTAGCAACTTGAACCACAGTTACATTTTCAAACCTAGGAATACACTTATAGCTATGTGTTGCTATAGCTACACTTATAGCTATAGCTACACTTATAGCTTATAATAGTGTCCAAAAATGAGCACAGATATCACATTAAATGAATAGATCATGTTTCCTATGTAGCTCAGAGAACTGGAACAGGCAAATGTCTAAAATAAGGGGTGGATAAAGGCATGAAGAGCTGGCTTGCATTCCTTTATGAATGTGTGCTCACATTTAACATAAGGGCCAAGGGACAGTCCCTGCTTGATATATTCCTCCAATTTTCTGTGAGGTCTGGGGCAGAGAGAGCAAGGAAGATGCTGTTACTACTGCACAATTCTTTCCCTCCAACACCTCAACTTTTTTCTTTCCAACATGATGCAGTATTCTTGGGACCAGGGCTACAATTGCAGGTGCCAGAACCAGGGATGATCCCTAAATGAGAAACTGTAACTCTACCTTTAAACCTTTATGCCAGAATTCCGGGAATTCCCTAGTGGCCCAATGGTTAGGGCTCTCTGCTTCCACCGCAGTGGGCATGGGTTCAAACCCTGGTCTGGGAATTAAGATCCCGCCAGAATTTGTAAGGACTTAATGGGATGGATTGTGCCCTCCACCTGTTATATAGATAGTTCAAAGATAGCCTTTACTTATTGGCCCCAAAGTTGTTTATTTCTTCACTGCAGGCTGAGATTCAATAGCTCAAAAGCCTGTTGATGCCAAACTTATATGTGTACACATCCAATTATTTTACAAATAGCCCAAACAAGCAGATTTTTCACCATTTAGGGCCTACCTGCTTTGCATGCCCCATGAAACCTCACCCTACCTCTGCTGTCAATAGATATGGCAAGTCCTGGGCTGTAAAAACCCAAATTGCTGCTGCCCTTCAGAGTTCTCTGACCCAGAGACTCCCCACTTTATTGCTGAGTGACATCGCCTAGACTCATTAGCTCACTCTCTTTTTTTTTAATTTTATTTTTTATTTATTTATTTTTTCCATTTATTTTTATTAGTTGGAGGCTAATTACTTTACAACATTGCAGTGGTTTTTGTCATACATTGAAATGAATTAGCCATGGATTTACATGTATTCACCATCCCGGTCCCCCCTCCCACCTCCCTCTCCACCCGATCCCTCTGGGTCTTCCCAGTGCACCAGGCCCGAGCACTTGTCTCATGCATCCAACTCACTCTCTTAACTCCCAAGCCCCCAGCAGTTCCTTTGCCCTCCTCCTCTCGTAGTAGCCTCTGCCCCCCGACCTTCCTTTGTGAAGCCCTTCCCCAGCCTGCAGACCCAATAAAGCTCGTGTGTGCTACTGCCACCTTGTGGTCATGTTTTTTCTTGTTCAGTTGCTAAGTCGTGTCAGACTCTGCGACCCCATAGATTGTAGCACACCAGGCTTCCTTGTCCTTCACTATCTCCAGGAGTTTACTCAAACTCATGTCCACTGAGTCGGTGATGCCATTCAACCATCTCATCTTCTGTCACCCCCTTCCCCTCCTTCCCTCAATTTTTCGCAGCATCAGGGTCTCTTCCAACAAGTCAGCTCCACACATCGGGTGACCCAAGTATTGGAGCTTCAGCTTCAGCGTCAGTCCTTCCAGTGAATATTCAGGGTTGATTTCCTCTAGGGTTGACCGGTTTGATCTCCTTGCTGTCCAAGGGACTTTCAAGAGTTTTCTACAGCACCACAGTTCGAAAGCAGCAATTCTTTGGCACTCAGACTTCTTTATGGTCCAACTCTCACATCTGTACATGATTACTGGGAAAACCATAGGTTTGACTCTATGAACTTTTGTCATCAAAGTGATGTCTCTGCTTTTTAATATGCTGCCTAGGTTTGTCATAGCTTTCCTTCCAAGGATCAAGCATCTTTTCATTTCATGGCTTCAGTCACCTTCCACAGTGATTTTGGAGCCCAAGAAAATAAAATCTGCCACTGTTTCCATTTTTTCCCCATCTATTTGCTATGAAGTGATGGGATCTTAGTTTTTTGAAAGTTGAGTTTTAAGCCAACTTTTTCACTCTCCTCTTTCAGCCTCATCAAGAGGCTCTTAGTTTCTCTTTGCTTTTTGCCATTTTTTCTTTCTGAACCCCCAAATACCTCAAACCCCTACAAGTGACAATGAAAAGGGGAGAATTTCTGGGCATGACTAGGAAATAGATATGGACACCACCCAGTCAGCAGGAAAATCAATTAACAAAAATCCTGAATGACCTCAAATGGGTGGGATTCAAAATTTGAGATGCCACTGCATCTGTGGGTGGGGCGGGCATAGAGGCCTAGCTGCATGGGGTAGGAAGTCAGCCTGCCCACCTGGGAACCCATTAGGCAGATGGTGGATACTGTAAGACCTATGGGCCTGAACAGAAAAGGGGGAGGGGTACATGACTCTGAACTGAGGGAGGCTACCCCTGACCCCATAATGGGGTATAATGAGAAGAGCTCCCTGACACTGGCCAGCGATTCAGGGATAGTCTGTGACAAGAGGACATCTTTGTCACTGGGGACCACTATAGCAGCTAAACAAGCCTATAAGGCAGAGGCATCAGACCAAGGTTAGTCCCCTAAGTGTTTGCATCTTGGCAAACAGCTAGCCTGACTCTGATGCTATTACACTTGGATCTGCTGTTATCATTCTAGCCCCTCCTTGGAGGGGTATCCAGACCCCAACTTTTGGGTTGAGGCAGCTAAAGCACTACTTAAAGTGACAAAGACAAGGAAGTCATCTTCCTGCCTCTCCCACGACTCCTAAACAAGGGGGCATCCTGCTGAGCAAGAGAGGCAAGACAGAACTTCAACAACAATTGTCTTCACAGGACAGGATGGAAAAATGGATCCCTGCTAAGGGATCTTGCACAATTAGTAAGGAATGAGAAGTAAGGACCCCCAGAGGCAGCTTTGGACCCTGGTTCACATATACCTTGTTGATAAGGATTTTTTCTATGGAGGGCTACCCACCCAATATGAGGCCTCATAATCACCTGGGCAGGCTGTCAGTGGAAAACACCATCTGAGGCCAAAGATCTCCTCCATCAGCTAGGGATGCTGAAGTGGGCTTATCAGGTAACAGATGATGTGCAGCAGGATGACTGGGCAAGTGGGAGGAGGGTGGATAGAGTCCTGAGTCCACAGAGTTGTTTCTCGGATGGGCTCCTAACAAAGCTAAGTCCTCTTTACTGGCGATGATGGTTAACTACGAAAACAGCTCAAAATTTACAGCTGCTCTTCTATTTAATACAAACTCAGGAAAGACAAACTCAGATGCAAGTGTTTAAGCCACCTGGCCTATATCAGAGTCACTATTGAGAGTGAAGCTGCCCCCCTCCTAAGTCAACAAACCTACATCTTGGCCTCTGCTTGAGCATGAACTCTGAGAAAACAAAGGTTATGTATTAGTCAGAATTCTCCAGTGAAGCAGAACCAATAGGATGTATGTATAAAAAGAGATTTTTTTTTGTAAAGACTTGGTTCACAGGGCCATCCTGGCAGTCCTCAAGCTGGAGCTCCAGGAGAGATCATGATGTAGTTTCAGTCCAAAGACTCACTGGCTTGGGGTCTAGCAAGAAACAATGTGTCAATCTGAGTCCCAAAGCAGGAAAAAACCAAAGTACCAACTCAAGGCAGTCAGGCAGGAGGGACCGACTTCTTGTGACCCCATGGACTTTAGCCCACCAGGTTCCTCTGTCCATGGGATTCTCCAGGCAAGAATACTGGAGTGGGTTGCCATGCCCTCCTCCAGGGGACCTTCCCAACCCAGGGATTGAACCTACATCTGTTATATCTCCTGCATTGGCAGGTGAGTTCTTTACCACTAATGTCACCTGGGAAGCCCTTACTTATGGGAGGGTCATCTTTTTGTTCTACTAAGGTCTTCACTGCTTGGATGAGACCCACTCACACAGGGGAGGGGGGATCTGTTTTACTCAGCCTACCAATTCAAATATTAATCTCATCTAGAACCTCACAGACACACCCATAATAATGTTTGACCTGAAGTCTTGGCACACTTGACCCAGTAAGATTGACACATAAACTTAACTATCACAGGTTATATTGAACCCTAAAGGACAAGAGAGTCCCACATCAGAGGTTCTCTAATAAATCAGTGCAGCAATAGCACTACTTACTAGGGTTAGAGTACAGGCTGTGGCAGGCTTCCCTTCCAGAGGTAGCCTCATCTTCAGTACTTACATCTGGTCTCTGTCACTGGCCAGGACAGCCCCCATGCAGGGGTCCAACAGTCACAAAAGTGGGGCCTTGCCTGAAGACAGTTGCCCTTTTATTGCATTAACTGTAGTTTGGGCTCCAGAACCCAAACACACTGGCTGGCTCTGTTGGCCATAGGTGCTCAAACCTTCCTAATCCCAAGGTGCATTCATGCTTTAAAGCCACCCCCCCCCCAAAAGAGGTGACTGGCTTGAGAGGACAATTAATTAAAAGAAAAATTACTCACTAATATAGACCTTTATAGTCAAAGCTATGGTTTTTCTAGTAGTCACCACTGGGGCTAACTCACCCAAACCCCAGAAATGCCTCTATCCCTTGCTCAATGGGGACAGGAGGGAAGATAGTCAAAACCCTCAAAATAAGAAAAGCAATTATCTTCCTTTACTGATGGAGTGAGCATGGGGTGTAAGGGACCAAACAACAGACAGCCACAGCCTATCACCATAAAATCCATACAGGGCACAGACCAAAGCACCCAATGGGCTGAGCAGCATGTAATAGTCCTAGCAATAGAGTATGCCTTTGACAAACATTTCCCCAACGTTCATATTCTACTGACTCCTGGTCAGTGTTCATGAGCTAACTTCTTGGTCAGCACATTGGCAAAATCAGGTATTTGGGATAAAGAGCTATGGGGCTAATTGCCACACTAGCTCCCACTCTGACCATCTGGGTGCACCATACCTTGGCTTATACCAAACAAGACACAGAGGAGATATCTTAAGATGCCAAGCCTGATGAACTAACTGAACCACCAGAGCAGCTAGGGCTCTGGAAGGAGGGGGAGTCTCCTGACCTTTTAGAGGAGCCACCCCCACTTCTATCAGGGGGCACATGAGAGGTCAGGGCTTTGGGGCATCATGGGGTTATGAAAATGGATTGTTAGAGGAGTCAGCTCAGCAGTGAGACAAATCAATGGGGACTGTAGCAGAAGCCAGAAATCTAGACATTGGGCATGCCTCACTGGAGGGAAAATTCACAGAGAATGAGGGCCACATCAAAGATGGCAAAGTGATTTCACTGGGCCTCCCCAAGCAGCAACAGGAACATATGTGTTAACATATGGCTAATAGTGGTGGATACCCACACAGGCCTTCCACTGCTCTCCCTTTGGGGGCCCCAATCTCTGTTAACTTTACTGAAGGGTTAACACAGCAGCCTGACAACCCTTGGGAGTGCTGCTAGTTACACAAATACATCAAGGTTCCCACTGCAAAGCAACAAACAGTGAGTAGTACAAAATCACATTGTGTGAGTTTTCACCTACCCCACTGTCTTAGAAGAATGTAATGGTGTTTAAAAACAAGGGCTGCTGAGAGAACTTGGAGTAAAATGGTTCAAAGGTGCAGTCCTAAGATATGACTGCACTGTATCAAAATTCACAACAAATGAAGTGACCACCCAAGGAGACACTGTGACCTCTCCTGGTGGGCATGTCCACACTGCACACAACCCAATTACTAGTTTTCATAGACATGGGAGCCTCACATGCTGCCTGCAACAAAGGAACATCACTTGATACTTTCAGCTTTTTCCCTTCTTCCTCATAGAAAATCGAGAGCCTAGCAGCCACTTCCCCTTTGATCCTGACAGGGACCTGCCATGGACCACCAACTTTGGGACCATACTCAAATGGGAGCTTCTGCTCCTCATCCAATGTAAGCTGAGCAAACCACTCACCACTATCTGGAGAGAAAAGCATCCTCATCTGCTGCCCAAATACTCCACTAAATCTCCATAGAACAACCTTGGACCAGCTCTCAACACCCAGGAAGTAGAATTAGTTACCCCTGGACTGGGTAATACCATTTGGACAATATCCAAGGGACAACCGAGCTTCCCCTGCCTACAATGTGGGAGCTGCAGGAGAGGTGGGTTTGATCCCTGGGTGGGAAAGATCCCGTGGAGGAGGACATGGCAACCCACTCCAGTATTCTTTTTTTTGTCTTTTTTTTTTCCACTCCAGTACTCTTGTGTGGAGAATCCCATGGACAGAGAAGCCTGGTGGGCTATAGTCCATGGGGTCACAAAGAGTCAGACACGACTGAAGCAAAGTAGCACAGCACAGCATGACATGGCAAGGGACAACCAGAACTCCTGCTACTGCCCACGGATAATCTCTGACCTTCACCCTTTCTCTCTTGCTGTGCCCCTTCCATATCTGAGGTGTTCCTCTTTTGCCAGTGTTGATTACACACCACTGATGGATCACCCTCCCCTGGCAAACTACACTCTAGTGCTGACAATGTTTGGAAACAACATGCCCCTTATACAAGACAGGGAAACATACAACATGGGTCAGGATTGGAACCATGGGAAGCATGCTATTGGCCATTCAGGTCAGTCAGTCCTACTAACACAACCACAGACACTACCACTAAGGCTAGCATTCCTCCTCCCATCTCTACTACTATCTGCAACACCCAATCTTGCTAAGCTAGGCTCTAAGATATGACTTGTGACTCACAGTACAGGTGTCTGTGGCTCAACTCTTACTTCAAATATGTGGCCAGTCATGGGCTGAACCCATAACAAATTGAGCTGATTCAGGTGCTGAGTATGAGGTGGACGATATGCAGGTTTGCCTGGCTAGAAATTTTAAACTCCTATTAACATCACCTTGAATTGCTCTAAGTTGCACAATTTGCCTTCGAAGGAACATAGAATACAAGCAGCAGTGAGAGCCTTGGTGGGCCTGTAAGGGAATCCCTGGTAAAGTGCCTCCCCTATAACAAGCTTCCCCTTGTCCAACACTGGATACTGGGTTTGACTCAAAACTGCGGTAGATATTTACTCAGCAGCAGAACCTCGCAAGGACTTGCCCTCACCAACCACACTAGCCACAACTCTCCAATGCCACAATCTTTCCAAATATTGTCCTGATACTAACCACTTTAGGATCACTAATTGGTGGGTGGAGGGGCAGGAGAAAGAGAGCGTGTGCAGGACACCATAGCAGTGAAAAGGAATACAGTCAGTCATGCCCTATCCACACAACTTAAAGTATCCCAGGAGAAACTGAGAAGGGAGGTAAAATTTACCTTTTTTGTGCTTTTCAGGCTTGGGGGCAAGCAGAGTTCAGGAACTTGTAGGAAGGAAGAAGGCTGACTGAAGTTTGGTCAAGACAAAGCAGAGGGTAAGCAGTAGGTAACTGTGAACACTTAGTCCCCCCCCGCCCCATTAAGTCAGACAAAATCTGTCCTTATGGAATAAGAGTTCCTGGGAAGTTGCTGCTGCTGCTGCTGCTTTAGTCGCTTCAGTCATGTCTGACTCTGTGCAACCCTATGGACTGAAACCCGCCAGGCTTCTCTGTCCATGGGATTCTCTAGGCAAGAGTACTAGAGTATCTAGGTATTGAACCCGAGTATCCTGCTTTGCAGGCAGATTTTTAACCATTGAGCCACCAGGGAAGCCCCATTAGGAAGCTGAGTTAGGTCCAGATAGTTTTCAAGGGGTTGCTGGCCTTCATGTTCCTTTGTTCTTGAAAGACTGTATGTCATCTGTTGATTGTTCTGTTAGGCTGACAGCTGTTGGAAAATCTTGGGCTTCCTAGGTGGCACTAGTGGTAAAGAACCCACCTGCCAGTGCAGGAGACATGAGACATTCGAGACACAGTTTCGATCCCTTGGTTGGGAAGATCCCCTGGAAGAGGGCATGGCAACCCACTCTAGTATTCTTGCCTGGAGAATCCCACGGACAGAGGAGCCTGGTGGGCTACAGTCCATAGGGTCTCAAAGAGTCGGACACAACTGAAGTGACTCACCATGCATGCATACTTAGGAATAAAATAAAATAATAGCTATTAAAGGTTTAATAAGGGAGTAGATCTAAGATTTGATGTTCAGAGAGAACAAGTTGAGAAGATTCCTAGACATTAGGTCTGAAGGGTATTCAGAGAGTGAAGAGGACAGTGAGAATCTGAAGAATTTTCTGGAATCTCTGGATGTTTTTGGTGATGGCACAGACATCAGAGAGGTTTCAGGGAACACACACACTGCAATGGCTTCCGATCACAAGTGCCCCATACCAGGATGGTGTCCAATGCCAGACAATTATGAAGATCCACTCACTGGAGTTCCTGTAGTTCTCAGGCAGTGATATTAGTGGTTTTGGTAAGATTATTCACAGTCATGGTTATTTCCTGTAGCAGAGCACAGAAGATGCAGGTGGCCAGATGAATTTCTAAGCAGCCCACACAACAGCAGCTCTAGGCATGCATGTAGCCCATACTTGACATGCTGCAGCAAGTGTTTTTTCTTTTTTTTTTCCATTTATTTTTATTAGTTGGAGGCTAATTACTTTACAGTATTGTAGTGGATTTTGCCATACATTGATATGAATCAGCCATGGATTTACATGTGTTCCCCATCCCGATCCCCCCTCCCACCTCCCCCCCATCCCATCCCTCTGGGTCATCCCAGTGCACCAGCCCCGAACACTTGTCTCATGCACCCAACCTGGACTGGTGATCTGTTTCACACTTGATAACATACATGTTTCGATGCTGTTCTCTCAGATCATCCCACCCTCGCCTTCTCCCATAGAGTCCAAAAGTCTGTTCTATACATCTGTGTCTCTTTTTCTGTCTTGAATATAAGGTTATCGTTACCATCTTTCTAAATTCCATATATATGTGTTAGTATACTGTATTGGTGTTTTTCTTTCTGGCTTACTTCACTCTGTATAATGGGCTCCAGTTTCATCCATCTCATTAGAACTGATTCAAATGTATGGCTGAGTAATATTCCATGGTGTATATGTACCACAACTTTCTTATCCATTCGTCTGCGGATGGGCATCTAGGTTGCTTCCATGTCCTGGCTATTATTAACAGTGCTGCAATGAACACTGGGGTATACGTGTCTCTTTCAGTTCTGGTTTCCTTGGTGTATATGCCCAGGAGTGGGATTCCGGGGTCATATGGCAGTTCTATTTCCAGTTTTTTAAGGAATCTCCACACTGTTCTCAATAGTGGCTGTACTAGTTTGCATTCCCACCAACAGTGTAAGAGTGTTCCCTTTTCTCCACACCCTCTCCAGCATTTATTGCTTGTAGACTTTTGGATAGCAGCCATTCTGACTGGCGTGTAGTGGTACCTCACTGTGGTTTTGATTTGCATTTCTCTGATAGTGAGTGATGTTGAGCATCTTTTCATGTGTTTGTTAGCCATCAGTATGTCTTCTTTGGAGAAATGTCTGTTTGGTTCTTTAGTCCATTTTTTGATTGGATCATTTATTTTTCTGGAATTGAGCTGCAGGAGTTGCTTGTATATTTTTGAGATTAATCCTTTGTTTCTCCGTTTGCTATTATTTTCTCCCAATCTGAAGGCTGTCTTTTCACCTTGCTTATAGTTCCCTTTGTTGTGCAAAAACTTTTAAGTTTAATTAGATCCCATTTGTTAATTTTTGCTTTTCTTTCCAATATTCTGGGAGGTGGGTCATAGAGGATCTTGCTGTGATTTATGTCGGAGAGTGTTTTGCCTATGTTCTCCTCTAGGAGTTTTATAGTTTCTGGTCTTACATTTACATCTTTAATCCATTTTGAGTTTTTTTTTTCATTTATTTTTATTAGTTGGAGGCTAATTACTTTACAATATTGTAGTGGGTTTTGTCATACATTGACATGAATTAGCCATGGATTTACATGTATTCCCCATCCCGATCCCCTCTCCACCTGATCCCTCTGGGTCTTCCCAGTGCACCAAGCCCGAGCACTTGTCTCATGCATCCAACCTGGGCTGGTGATCTGTTTCACCCTAGATAATATACATGTTTCGATGCTGTTCTCTCGAAACATCCCACCCTCGCCTTCTCCCACAGAGTCCAAAAGTCTGTTCTGTACATCTGTGTCTCTTTGAGTTTATTTTTGTACGACAACTTCTTTATCTATTCATCTGTCGATGGACATCTAAGTTGCTTCCATGTTCTAGCTATTGTAAATAGTGCTGCAGTGAGCAATGGGATACATGTGTCTCTTTCAATTTTGGTTTCTTCAGGGAATATGCCTAGCCCAGAAACATTTTTAAGTAGACTACCAAACTATTCTTTCTAAATTAAAAATTCATTAAACTGCTAAAACCTCTCCCAGGCACTTTTTTTGTAAATCAAATATTAGTATAAACAGGGGCTTCCCTGGTGGTCCAGGGACTAAGAATCTGTCTTGCAATTCAGGGGACATGGGTTTGATCCCTGGTCAGGAAGATCCCACATGCCACAGAGTAACTAAGCCCAGGTGCCACAAACTGAGCCAGTGAACCACAGCTACTGAAGCCCTTGTGCCTTAGAGCCTGTGCTCCACAACAATAGAAACCACCACACTGGGAAGCTCATGTACCACTACTAGAGAGTACCCCCTACTCACCCCAACTAGAGAAAGCTTCAAAGACCCAGCACAGCCAATAAATAAATAAATAATAATAAATAAAATTTATTTTTTAAAAATTTGTGTAAAGAAACAAAATTAGGAAGAAAAGAAAAAAAAAGGATATTTTCAAATGGAACTTGGTTTTTGAGTGATGAAGACATGCGCTGGCCTTCTGGTGGAGTTGGGGCTGCTGATCACACCAATGCGGTTGGGCCTCTTGAGGATGCTGATCTGTAGAGGGGGCTCCTGGGAAAGCTGTCATCCTGAATCACAGTAGGCACTCTGGAAGGAGATTTGGACTTCCCCACCGTCTGCCACCTCCTTCCAGCTCTCAGCAACTTCCCCATCTTCCATCTTACTGGTCACTTTCCAAGACCCTCAGTTTACAGTCTGCAGTTGGGATGGACTTCCATTTAGAGTAGATTTTAATATCTTTTCAGTTGAGAAACACCAATCCAGGATTTGACCCCCTGGAGTTTGGCGGTAGAGTTAATGATATAAAGATAATGATGAAAGGGCCCTATTAATAAGACTCAAGGGGCTTCCTAAATGGCACTAGTGGTAAAGAATCCACCTGCTAATTCAGGAGACATCAGAGACGTGGGTTTGTTCCCTGGGTCAGGGAGATCCCCTGTAGAAAGGCATGGCAGCCCACTCTAGTATTCTTGCCTGGAGAATCCCCATGGACAGAGAAGCCTAGCAGTTCATAGAGTTGCAAAGGGCTGGACATGACTGAAGTGACTTAGCGTGCGCGCACACATGCACACACACACACACACAATAAGACTCAAGATTAGTCTTCTGGTTGCCTTGAGAGAATTAAGTCTTGAGACAAATAATAGCTGGCTGCCAGTGAGGACACCCCGAAGGGCGAGGGTTGGCCTGGGCCTCTCACGCCTAGTTTCCCAGTCTCTTCCTGAGTCTGGGTCCGGGGTTGCCCCCAGCGTGCGCCCAGGCACAGCAGAACCCCAAAAGCTGACTGACAGGTTTTCTCCAGTAAGAGGTGGCTCTTGAAGCTCTGCAGAAACAAGTGTGGTGTGTGATTTCAAGGCACGATGGCTGCAAAAGTGGTCCCTATGCCCCCCAAGCCAAAGCGGTCCTTTATACTGAGAGTCCCTCCCAACTCCAAGCTGGGCCAAGACCTACTTCGAGATGCTACTAGTGGACCCAAGATCATCCACCAACTGGTTCTGGAGCACTTCCTCACCTTCTTGCCCAAGCCAAGCTTAGTCCAACCCAGTCAGAAAATCAAGGAGACCTTGGTTATTGTGAAGGACGTGAGTTCAAACCTTCAGAATAGAGTGCAACTTGGTCCCTTAGTGAAGCTTCTGCCTAGAGAAGGAACCCAACAGAAACAGGAGACAGTATCTCTGTGTCTGAAATCTGAATCTGAGAAACTGGTGGTCTTTGAGGATTTGAACGTATTTCACTCCCAAGAAGAATGTGTAAGCCTGGATCCTGCTCAGCAGCCCACCTCAGAGATGGAAGAAGACAGCATTGGGGAGATGATGCTACTGGTCAGTGGCAATAATCCTGAGGGTGAAGAGCTTCAGACGGAACCTGTAGAGGATGAAGATCATAGAGAAGAGTCTTCAGATTGTGATGAAATGAATTGTTCCATGGTCCCTGAGCAGTCTCCAGATTGCCAAAAAGAAGAAAGATTAAATACATCTATTCCAAAGGAAAGGAAAATGAGAAATCTTTTAGTTACCATTGAAAATGATACTCCTCTAGAGGAACTCTCAAAATATGTGGATATTAATGTTATCGCACTTACCCGAAATCGTAGAAAAAGAAGATGCTATACTTGTCCGCTGTGTGGGAAACAGTTTAATGAGAGTTCTTACCTTATTTCCCACCAGAGGACTCACACTGGAGAAAAGCCCTATGACTGCAGTCACTGTGGGAAAAGCTTTAATCATAAACCAAACCTTAATAAGCATGAGAGAATCCATACAGGAAAGAAACCTTATTCAGTGTGGGAAAAACTTCCGTCAGAATTCTCATCGAAGTCGCCATGAAGGAATCCATATAAGGGAAAAGATATTTAAGTGTCCAGAATGTGGGAAAACCTTCCCAGAAAACAAAGAGTTTGTGATTCACTTGCAGAGTCACGAGACCAAGAGGCCATATGGTTGTAAAAAGTGTGGGAGAAGATTTAGTCGGCTGTCGAACTGCACCCGGCATGAAAAAACCCACTCAGCATGTGAGACTGGAAAACAGAAGTAACATCAGGGAAAGGTCTGATGGTACCACCTCAAACTGAAATATTCCATAAATAATTCTGAATTGCCAGGCTGTCTGAAAAGATACAGATAAAACCTTGTTATAGCCAAAATCAGATAAATATTCAAGTTTGCCGAAACCTCAAGTTTTTAGAAAATTTGCAGGGAAAACAAAACATCCTCAAGGGCTATACCTCAGTTAGCAACCAGACTTTTTAGACTAAAGAGCTTTCTTTTGTGAACTTACACAACGATGTACAGCTCACAGATCCCTTTCCCAAAAAAGGCTTTGAAATAGGAGTCTGGGGGCTGCTTACCTTAAGGTGAAGACTGACAAGTGTACTGAAAGTATCAGAATATTCCATTCCCCCCCTACATAGGAATTCACACCTGAGAAGTAATGTAAAGATCCTTATCTTAAACTGTTCCCCTAAAAGAACCAAACTACTGACTTGTTAATAAGAACAGCTTCTATCAGCCATTCATATCACCATCTAAAGATACCCTGAAAGCTTGAGAGATGAAAGGGATTGTTTACTTTGGAATATAGGAAAACACAGCAACTGAATGTCAAAGACTTATTCCATCATTTGTATGGGATCTAAAAACTAACGATCAATTTCAATAACTCTTGCAGTTTGTGGTGAAAAGAGACATTTACAGAAATCCTCTTCACAGTGTAATTTAAAAGTGTCTGCTGTTCTTACTGTATTTTGTTCAGCTGTTAATTGCTCAAACAGCTCTCTCATGCCTTTGCCTTGCCGGAAGAAGTTTGGGTCACTCAGGCCTGGCCACCCAGCCCCGTTCCTGGAAAAACTTCTGAATTTTGTCCCTCTGTTAAGTCAGGAAAACCTGCCAGGAAGGTAACCCCAGGATCCTGCAGAGGGGGAGGAGGACATTGGCTTGGATCCGTGGCTGGTCAATAACCTTGCCATATGTGTAGTTCCCATCAGACCGTTGGCAATGGGTGGTCACTACCTCACAAGCATAGTGTTTTACTTTTAGAAATTATCTCTCCAGTGGCTCGCTCACATTACCCCTCAGGAGATAGGGTTCCAGCGTCCTCATTGTAGTGGACATTTGTTCTCTGTGGCCTCCTGGTACCCACATTTCCTGACTTGTCTGCCAGAAGCAAGGCCAGCGGTGCCTTCACAGGACCAATCCTGTGGTGTGTCATTTTCAGATTCTTATCAGTCTTGCTCCTCTTAGATTTCCTTAGGTTTTAAATTGGTATCTGTAATGGAACAGGCTAAATCCTGTACACTTATGGTGGAAAATTACCTTTACACGTTTTGTTCCCATCCAGAAACCTACCTTCCATGATTAGAGTAGTCTGAGTACGTTTTTTGCTAATTTTCTTCCGGTAAGTTCTACACAAAACAAAATTTTGTTTTTGTAAATAGTTTTTTTTTTCATTGTATTTTTCTAGTTGGTTATTGCTCTTGCATAGGAAAGTTATTTTTAATTATATTTGCAAAACTAGCTACTTCTCTGAATATAATTTTCAGTAATTTCTTGGTTCTGTTAAAATTTGTGATTAAAAATTATACCATCTATAAAAAAAAAAGAATTAAGTCTCCAGTTTCTAGGTTATATAGTGGTATACATGGGAGAAATGGGGAAAAAGCAGCTTCAACTTGCTGAAGAGAAGTTTGGGAATAATGAATAAATTTCTTGCCAAATTTTAGAATGTCTGAATTGACCTAGTTAGAGTCTTCAAGAACTCAACAGAATAGAGAATTCTAAGGGCTAGCCAATAATTTTATAACAGAACAGTTGGTATGACCCATCAGAAAGGACCAAAGAGCAACCAGGGATAAGGGTGAAACCCTTAGGCCATGGGAGATTGACTTCTTCCATCAGTTTAGCAAGTTTTTATTTTAATCGTCCATTAGCGCTATCATTCCAAATGAGTAAGGGAATGACAAAGACAGTGTAATTTTTGTGATAAATGAAGAGCTCATTGGATTTCTTGGATGATTTTACTCATGAAATGGGCCTTTCAGTCACTTGAAAGAGCCAGTGTGGAACACTTGTCCTAATAAAAGTTTAGCAACCACAGTGGCAGCAGCCCTTTTACAAGGGAAAGTTTCAAGCCAGAGAGAAAACATATATGATAGTAAGAACATATTTATTTTATAACCATGAGATTTTGGAGCTGAAGAAAAGGTCCTACATATCTACCTATTAGGAAAACTCAAAAGGTGAGTGATGTAAATTTCCAAATGAAATTTACAATTCCCAGTTAGCCTATAATATAGCAGATTTTGAAAAGTAAAATTGTGACCAAGTTAATGTTTTTCAAATAATTGAAAGGATTATTTATAAAATTGTTTATTGCTACCTAAAATAAGGTAAGGGGATTCCCCAGGTGCCAATTCAGGAGATCCAAGAGATGTGGGTTCGATCCCTGGGTCGGGAAGATCCCCTGGAGTAGGAGATGGCACCCCACTCCAGTCTTCTTGCCTGAAAAATCCCATGGACAGAGGAGCTTGGAGGGCTACAGTCCGTGGGATTACAAAGAGTCAGACATGACTCAGTGACTGAGCATGTACACACACACAACATAAGGTAAAGCAGCATGATGACACAAATAGAAATATATCAGAGACAGTGAGCACAATGACAAATCTCTAGGAACCTTACATCATTTTTGAAATATTTATATTAATAATATTTGACCCAAACAACTTTAATCTAAGGAAGGCTAAGTATTTTTTGACAACACTTCCTGTGTAATTTATATAATCTTTTATATAATATTAAATAAATCTAATCATTTTTAGCACCTCTTTTTACAAGATGAAGGAACAAATCCTTTGTGATTTTCCAGTGGCCCTCTGGGAAACCCCAAAGTCAATTTTGGATATAAAAGATATCAATTTGGATTAGATTTAGGGAAGGCAAAATGTCAAAAGTTGTCAGGATATTTGAACAATTTGGTAAAATTATCTGAAAGTCAGAAAAATATTACATAGCATACAACATACATACATATGTAAACATACAGACAGATACAAATAAGGATCTTATAGCCATCATTCTAAAATTTTAGTTGAGTCATGCATAAACATAGAAATATAGAACTCCCTGGTTAATATAACACAGTTATGGCCCTTGTCTTTGCCCCCCTTTATATTTTTATCAGGATTATTCTGACAGATAGAACAAGTGAGGTTATCTGTTTAATATGAGGGCTTAGAGTTCCCACCATCTACTTTGACCTGATGTGTAATACTTATGGAGTTGTGTGCGTGCTCAGTCATGTCCAACTCTTTGCAACCCCATGGACTGTAGCCTGCAGGCTCCTCTGTCAATGGGATTTTTCCAAGCAAGAATACTGAAATGGGTTGCCATTTTCTACTCCAGGGGATCTTCCCAATCCAGGGATCAAACCTGTGTCTCCTGTGTCTCCTGCATCAGCAGGAAGATTCTTTACCACTCTGCCACTTGGGAAGCCCCAATCTTATGGAGGCTGTGGGAGGGATAAATATGGGAAGATGGGCCAAAGAGATACCCAGAAGCCACCTGAATGTCTCCAAAGATATCTGAGTGGATAAAATAGCCAGTCTGTTTCCAGTTAGCTTTCTCAGCTTTAGGTGGTTGCCTCTGGATTCAGGAGTGACTATAGTCTAGTGATTACAGGAAGCTGAGGGGCTGGAGTAGGAAGAGAAAGATTAGGCAGGGATGTTGAAGGGAGACAGATCAAAGGACTTAAGGCAACTTTAGGGAAGAACAGAGGCAGTCAGAGGAGGAAGAAGGAGTGAAGTGATGAGAAGGGGCAGGCCTTGGATGTGCCAGTTTGGGAAGGCCTCAAGTTTTCCAAAGAAGTCACTGAAGTTCAAACTGCCTTTGGTAAATTTTTGCTATTTATGAATTTATTAAACTAAGTAAGTGCAGTAATGGCAACACATATTATAAGCAGAGAAGAAGAGTAGGGAAGACACCTGGCAGAATGAGATTTGTTGTTGTTATTGTTCAGTTGCTCAGTCGTGTCTGGCTCTCTGCAACCCCATGGACTGCAGCATGCCAGGCTTCTCTCAAGCTCATATCCATTGAGTCAGTGATGCCGTACAACCATCTCAACATCTGTTGCTCCCTTCTCCTCCTGCCCTCAAACTTTCCCAGCATCAGGCTCTTTTCCAATGAGTTGGCTCTTTGCATCAAGTGGCCAAAATATTGGAGCTTCAGCATCAGTCCTTCCAATGGAATATTCAGGGTTGATTTCCTTTAGGATTAACTGGTTTGATATCCTTGCTGTCCAAGAGACTCTCAAGAGTCTTCCCCAGCACCACAGTTCAAAAGCATCAGTTATGAGATTAACAAATAGTTAAACCAAGATTAGAGAGCTGAGGGAACCCTTTATGCAATCTCTGGGGAAGAAAGCCAGAGGAACACCCATGTGCAATTTCTGGAGTAAAGAGCCATGTGAACTCCCCACATGCTGTCTTTAGGGACTGGGGAGCTAATGAAAGATCCATAAAAAATCCATGGGTTTGGGGAGCTGAGATAACTCCCATGCACAATCCCCAGTTTAGGGGAGCCAAGGAAATACAAAAGAAGTCTTACAGAGGGGCAAAGAAACATCTCTTTACCAGAAAGAAAAGTAATTCCTTACTACCATGCTACAGCAAACAAATGTCCAGAACACTGGACTAAATTAGGAGGTGTGACTCACCATTGTATATTCCTATTTTTCCAGAAGAAAAGGACACAAAGAGTCCAAGAAACCATCATGAATACTTGGGTGAAGACAGTTGAATCTCAGTTAATACAGCTCTATTACTTACGGGTCA